AAATAAAGAAACTCAAAATAAAAAAAAAAAAAAAAAAAAAAATAACAAAAAAAAATAAAAAAAAAAAAAAAAATTAAATAAACAAACAAAAATAAATAAAAAAAAAAGAAGAAAAAATTAAATAAAAATAAAAAAATAAAAGAAGAAAAAAAAACAAAAAAAAAAAACAAAAAAAAAAAAAAAACAAAAAAAAAAAAAAAAAATAAAAAAAATAAAAAAAAAAAAAAAAAAAAAAAAAAAAGAATAACAAAAAAAAAAAAAAAAAAAAACAAAAAACAAAAACAAAAAAAAAAAAAAAAAAAAACAAAAAAAAAAAAAAAAAAAAAAAAAAAAAAAAAAAAAAAAAAAAAAAAAAAAACAAAAAAAAAAAAAAAAAATCCCGGCCTGACGCTTCCCCGGCCTCCGGGCCGCCCTTAAACCGGCCCGGCAGGCGCGTCCGTTTAAGAACAAGAATTAGGAACAAACACCCAAATTGCGAAGGCAAGAGGAAGCCGGGGGAAAGGGGGGGCAAAAGGGAAAGGAAAAAAAGGATATAGAGAAGAGAGGAGAATATATGGTTGAAGAGAGGCGAGATGGAGGAGAAGAAAAGGAGAGGAGGATCGTTAAGCTCACATGATTGAGAGGCGAGGAGAGTAATGAGGAGGAGAGAGAGTGGGAGAGGAGGAGGAGAGGAGTAAGAGAGCAGGGAGAAGAGACGTGTCCCGGTAGAGAGGAATATAGAGGGAAGAATGAGCCCATCAGAGATGGAACGATGAGGAAAGGGAGGAGGAAGAGGATAAAATAGGGCGAGAGGGAAGGAAGAGACAGGCAAGAGGAACAAATCAGAAAGACGAAAAAAAATCGAAGAAAGATGGAGGAGGCAGACACGAACGAACCGACGGAGATGCGGATGAATGCAAGGAAAGCGCGAAGGGGAGAAATACATACATAATAAAAGAATAAGAATTAGAGAGAAGACAAATTGAAGAAAGAGATACAGAGAAGACAAACAATAAAGAAAGAAAATAGAGAGAGAAGACATAAAAAAAAAAGACCGAAATCATTCAAAAATTACTCTCATCACCCAAAGTGTAACGTCACAAACGCCCACACCAAGCACGCCCGCGCCCTGGCAACACCCCACGCCACGGCAAACAGCAGCCGCGAGGCCACCCATCACCCCCCCACGCCCACGCCAGCAAGACGGAGATCGCTTATGACTGCCACGTGCGCCCAATTTGCTACCAGCAATTGGAACTGCACTTGCGGACACCACACGCACGCACAATCGCCACTCGCTTCTTTTTTTATCTACTTATTTATCTGTTCTTGTCTCCGCTTTTTCTCAATCTTCCATTTTTTTTTTTTTTTCAAAACTTCTCCATTTTTTTCTTTTTTCTTTTCCTTCTTACCTTTTCTTTCTTTTCTTTTTATAGCTTCATAACCAGATGAGAGAGAGAGACGAGAACGACGGACAGGTGAGAGGACAGTGCGGAATGAGATACGAAGATGAAAGGATAGGCGAGACCTGAAGAGAGATGAGAAGGATGAGAGAGACGAGGGAGACTTGAGAGACCTCGAGAGAGAAGAAGGAGAGATATGAGTCGGAAGGAATAGATCAGGAATTGATGGACGAGAAGACGGAGAGTAGAGAGGAGGGGACGGATGAGAGGTAGGAGATCAGAGAGGGAGAGGAGAAGACGACGAGGAAGGATGACTGCCGAGTGAGGGAGGAGAGAGAGGAGAGAGCGAGGAGAAGACTGGACTGATCTTGAGAGAGAAACGAGAGCAGACTGAGAGAGAGAGACGAAGAGAATGAGAGACGTGAGGATATAGACTAAGGAGGGAGAGAAGAATGGTGAAGAGAGGAGAGATGAGAGAGAGAGAGAGAGAGAGAGGAGGGACGAGACATGAGGAGAGAGAGAGAGGACCCAGACGAGAGAGAGAGAGAGGAGAGAGAGGAGAGAGAGAGAGAGAGAGCGAGAGCGAGGAGAGAGAGAGAGATGATCGAGAGAGAGAGAAAGAAGAGAGAAGAGAGGAAGAGAGAGAATAACGAGAGAGGCTGGGAGCATAGGAGTAACAGAGGGACAAATAGGAGAAAAGAGGCAAAGAAGATGAAAAAACTTCCAAATTTTCATCATTTCTTTTCTTTTCACTTTCTCTTCTCTTATCTCCTCCCTCCCTTCTTTGTCTCCCTCTTGCCCATTCTCATCTTCGTTTCTATCTACTCTCATTTCCTTTCTCTTTTCTTTACTTCCCCTTCTACCTTTCCCTTATGATTTCCCTCAACAATTTCTCCTTCTTCTCCTTCTCCTTCTCCTTCTTCTCCTTCAGTTATTATCCTTCTACATCATTCTCCTTTCCCTATTTATTATTCTATTCCTTATTTGTCTATTTCCCTTCGTCTTCCGTGTCTATTCTCCATTTTCCTCTGTCTATTCTCTCTTCTTTACCTCCACTCTCCCTTTCTTCACCCCCCCCCCATTTTCCTTTACCCTTTTCTTCATTCCTTCATCTCCCTCCTTCACTCTCCTCCTCCTCCTCCTGAATTAATCTTGTCTTTTTCCCTCATTTATTCTTTCATTCCATTTCCTTTTCTCACTTCCAAACTCCTTTGTGTATCCTTCTCCCCTCTATTTCTCTTTCCCACTTTTTCATTCCTTTCCATTTCAGCTGTTCCTCCTCCCTCCTCCATCCTCCCTCTTCCCCTTCCATCCCCCACCCTCCCTCCCCATTTCCCAACCCTACCCTCCTCCTCCTCCTCCTCCTCTATTGACCCCCACCCCCACCCCCACCCCATCCTCTCATGTCTTTAACCCTTTGATCTCGAAGGTCAGAGAGAAGTTTAATGACCTCCTGGATGAGGTGGACTCGTTTTTAGGGCCTTTAAACTTGTATGACTTTCGCTGGGAACAAAGGGATCGAATGCGCCTCTGCGTGTGGGGTGCGTGCGTGCGCGTGTGGGAGGAGGAGCGGGTGTGTGGGTGTTCGTGAGTTTGTGTTTGTGTGTTTGTTCGTTTGTGCGTCGTTGCGTGCGTGCGTGCGTGCGTGCGTGCGTCGTGTGTGAGAGAGAGAGAGAGAGAGAGAGAGAGAGAGAGAGAGAGAGAGAGAGAGAAAGGAGAGAGAGAGAAGAGAGAGAGAGAGAGAGAGAGAAGAGAGACGAGAGAGAAGAGATGAAAAAGGAGAGAGAGAGAGAGAGAAAGAGAGAGAGGAAGAGAGAGAGAGAGAGAGAAGAGAGAGAGAGAGAGAGAGAGAGAGAGAGAGAGAGAGGAGAGATGAGGAGAGAGAGAGGAAGAGAGAGAGAGAGAAAGAGAGAGAGGAGAGAGAGAGAGAGTCAGAAAGTATGAGAAAGGTGAATCATAGAGATATAGATAGGCAAAAAAGATGACCACGGGACATAAAAGAATGAAACAGAAGAGAGAAGAGAGATAGAGAGAATAACACAGAGACAAAAACTGAAAAACGCGAATACGGGGAAAACGAGAAAACCACACGCAATGGAGGGTGGGGGTGGCAGGGCACGGAGGGGGGAGGAGGAGGGGGTGGGAGGTGACCTTGACCCGTCTACAACAAACTTTTGGTTACTTTTTTGTCATCACGAAGATCAAACTACATTTTTTTCATGCACTTCTATCCCCTTTTCTTCCCCTTTCTGTCTTCTCTCTCTCTTCTTCTCTCTCTCTCTTCTCTTCTCCCTCTCTCATCTCTCTCTTCTCTCTCTCTCTCTCTCTCCTCTCTCTCTCTCTCTCTCTCTCTCCTCTTTCTTTCTTTCTTTCTTTCTTTCTTCTTTCTTTCTTTTCTTTCTTTCTTCTTTCTTTCTTTCTTCTTTCTTTTCTCTTTTTCTTTCTTTTTCTTTTTTCTTTCTTTCTTTCTTTCTTTTTCTTTTCTTTCTTTTTTCTCTCTCTCTTTCTCTCTTTCTCTTTCTCTTTCTCTTTCTCTTTCTCTCTCTGACTCTGACTCTGACTCTGACTCTGACTCTGACTCTGACTCTGACTCTGACTCTGACTCTGACTCTGACTCTGACTCTGACTCTGACTCTGACTCTGACTCCCTCTCCTTCTCTCTCCCATTCACACTCCTTCTCCCACTCCTCTGCCTCTCCCTCTGTTCCCATTCTTCATCCTCCCGTTCTCCCTCTTCCTCACATCCCTTCCCCTCCCCTACCCCTTCTCCATGCCTTCTAACTCCCCTCCTTCCCCTCCTCCGGTTAAAATAGCACGACAAGAAAGGAGTAGTCAGATAAGATAAGATAATGACAGGAAATGAAATAAAAAAAATACTTGACAAGGATGACACTTCATCGCCGATTGCTCAGTGAAAAAACAGGAAAAAAGGGAGGAGGAGGAGGAGGAGGAGGAGGAGAGAGGAGGAGGAGGAGGAGGAGGAGGAGGAGGAGGAGGAGGAGGAGGAGGAGAGAAGGAGAAGAAGGAGAAGGAGAAGGAGAAAGAAGAGAAAGAAGAAGAAGAAGAGAGAAGAAGAAGAAGAAGAAGAAGAAGAAGAAGAAGAAGAGAAGAAAAGAAGAAGAAGAAGGAGGAGGAGAGTAGGAGAAGAGGAGATAGGAAAGACGAAGAGAATGAAAGAAGTAAGGACGGAAGGAAGGAAGGAGGGAATGGAGAAGAAGCGGAAGCAGGAGCAGGGAGCACAACGAGGAGCAGTTCTAGTAGGAATAGAAGGAAGAGGAGGAGGGAATGCCATGACGTGCGGCGGACGGGAATAAAGGCAAATGCAAATCAGCGTGCATGCGAGCATTACGCAACACGGACTCCCTCACTTAATCCGAAGAAGAGCAACATAAAAAGCCTCAAATGAAGCGAACGAGGTACGGCCAGAGACCAGCTGGCGCCGCCCACCTGTGCACGAGCTCCGCCGTCGAGTCCACGGTGGAGGCGGTGGCCGTCGACGCCTCCATGAGCGACGCCTCGCCCTCCGCGCTGCTGTCCGCCACGCCCGCGTCCTCCTCTACGACGCCCACGACGCCCACGGCGGGCGCGCTCTCCTCCTCAGGCACCGCCTCGCGCCCGCCGGCGCCCGCGAGGCCCAGCGGGGCTGTCGCTCCCGTGCTGTGGCCGCTGCTCGTGCTGGCGCTGCTGTTGTTCCTGGTGATGGTGGCGCCGCCCCGCGCGCTCGTGCTGCTGCTGTGCCGCGTCCGCCCGCCGCCCACGCCGCCCACGCCGCCGCCCAGACTCCCGCTGGCGCTGCACGTGCTGTTGTTTCGGGCGGGCTTGCTGCTGCTGCTCCCTCGCGCCGCCAGTTCCATGTGCTGCTGCGGCTGAGACTGCGGCTGCGGCTGGCTGTGCAGGGTGGCTGTAGAGGCCGAGCGGTGGTAGGCGTCGCCCTCCTCCTGGGGAAGGGGGGGGGGTTAAGAAGGCTCAATGATAATGATGATCGCTAACAATGTTCACAACGCTAAAGATGCTGACAAAGACTATCAACGCCGCTGCTGCTAAACTACAATAACAGTAACAACTATAATGGCAATGGTTAGTCTTTCATCCCTTACTGCATGATCACGTCCATTAAAAGACATCCTAACAATAACAATAATGATAATAACAATAAGGAAAACCATAATGGCAAAATTAATATTAACAACAACAGTAATAATAATTGTAATGATAATAATAATCATTATGATGTTAACAAAACCCATAATGAAAATTAATAACAATACCAACATCAACAACAACAATAATAATAATTTGTAATGGTAATAATAATAATAATGATGATGATGACGACATAATCCATAATGAAAAACAACAACAACAACAATAACAATAATAACAATAACAATAATAATAACACATGCAAGACAATCCCCCCAAAAAAGAAATCTAAAAAGGTAAAACGTTTCGAATAAAATAAGAAGCCCGGGCCGCCTGTCCCGGCATCCAACATGGCGGATGTAACCGACAGGAACAGCTTCTAAATCTTGGGGAGAGGAACGCCTTCGATTCCAGCGGCGTCTCCACTCCCTCCTTCCATTTTATATTTCTCTTTCGCTGTCTCCTTTCTTTCTGTCTGTGTCCGTCTGTCTGTCTGTCTGTTTCTGTCTGTCTGTCTGTCTTTGTCTGTCTGTGTGTCCATTTGTCTGTCTGTCTGTTTTTCTGTCTCTGTCTCTGTCTGTCTGTCTGTCTGTGCGTGTGTGTCTCTCAAACACAAACACTTGTCTTAAGCCAGATCTACCAAATAACAGAATACTTACCTGACATGGCGCATTTGACGTAATCTTACATATTCGTCTGTGAATTCATACGCGCATAAAAAAATCAAACAATTATCCAACCAAAAACAATAATTCCGTAGATGTCTGGTCCAACATCCACATCCACGCCACGCCACGCCCATAAAACAGCCGACCGGAAATAAATCCTCTTGGCGCGCTTTCACATCTGCCACAACGAATATACAGACAAAATAAAACTAAAAACAAATAAATGAATAGACAAAATATCAAAAACTATAAAAACAAAAACAATAAAAAACAACAAATAAACAAACAAAATAAAAACAAAAACAAAATAAAACAAAACAAAACAAATGACAAAAAAATATAAAACAATAAAAAGCAACAAACAAACAAAAATTAAAAACAAACAAAATACAAAAACAACAAATAAAACAAAAACAAACAAACAAACAAAACCAGTAAGAACGCGTCTCCCAAATTCTACAAACAAACCATAAACCATTCATTCTACAAACCAACCACAAGAACACTTTCTTTTCTTATTTTATTCTACAAACAAACCCTAATTTATGCCGCTTTTTTATCTTCTTTTCTCTTTTTTTGACGTTTCTGCTCATCTTGCGCCCAATAAATATGGCGGGCGGTCGAGTCGACTCAAAGACGACGATAAACTGAGAGAAAAGGCCGATAGATTGCGAAAACACTTTCCAAAGACGGCAAATTCGAAAAGCCGAAAGAATGGAGAGAGAAGGGAAGAAAAAGTGAGGAGGAAGAACTAAAGAGAAAAAAATTGCAAAAGAGAGAAACGAGAAAACGGGAAAAGGAAAAGGAACATAAAAAGAAGATTGGGGAAAAGAACGACAATCTATAAACTTCCGAAAATAAATAACAAAATAGAAAAAGACGTAGAAGAGAGAAAAAAATAGAAAAAAAAAAAAAAAATAATATATATATAGAAGCGAAAAAAGACAAAAAGAGACGAATAAAAAAATAAACAAACAAAGAAATAAATAAATAAACAAATAAATAAAACAAATCCCCAATAAGAAAAAATAAACATAGACACCCAAAATAACTCAAACCCACAAAATACACTCAAAACCCGCCCCTTTTCTGACGTCACAACATCGCGTGAACATCGACTTGACAGACAACGGACTTCGACACCGGAAGTTATTTCCCTAACATGAAAACGACATATAAAAAAAAACATGTAATAAGCACATCAAATAAAAAAAAGAAAATGGTGAAAGATGAGAGTACTTGATATGCAAAATAACAACAACAACCTACAATAATGGAGATGCAATAATATCAATGCAAAAATTGTGGTGGTGGACGGTGGTTGAGAGAATAATATTGAGAGTAATAATGATACAAGAAAATGTAAAAAAAAAAATCCTTGATTATCATTGTTACTATTATCATCATAATTTTTATCATCATCATTACCATTGTCACGGTTGTTATCATTATCATCATTAACTTCATTATCAATGTTGTCATTGTTGTTATCATCTCTTAATTATAATTGTTTTATTATTATTATATCATAATCAATACTATTACCATTATCATTACAGTCATCATCACTATCATCATTACCACCACCATCATAATCATTAACATCATCATCATCATCACCATCATTATCATCATCAGCACCATCATTATCATCATCACCATCTTCACCATCGTCCCATCATTACCCATCATCATCATTTCAATTACCATCAATACCATCATCATTTACCAATCTACCCTAGAATCATTTATCACTATAAAACACCAAACCGACTACCAACCGTGGGAGCTGTTCTCGTCGACGCCATGACAGTGTCCGAACGCCTCAGCAACCAGTTCGTGACGGAAGCCGAAGCCGAGGCCGGGGGTCGTGTCGTAGTCGGAGCCAACACCAGAGGGTAGAGGGGGGGGAGGGGGAGTGTCGAAGGGTAAGCGATCAAAACGACGGACAGGGAGGGGGGAGTTGGGGGGAGTAGGAAAGGTTCAAAAAGGGGAGGTTTCGAGAGAGAAGGTTCCTGGAACACCTATCCTCCAGCCATCCCTGTGGACGAAGAGAGAAAGAAAAAAATGATGTTAATGGCGTTATAATGGCGCGAGAGAGAAGGTGTCCGAAATTACAGATAATGACTTCGTTATAAACCTCTGAAGCGTTTCGACCATCGTCACAGCTACAACACACACACAATAAAAAAGTCTTACAAAATCAAACAAACAGTATTACGTAGTTTTAACACTCCTCTTGCGTCGACAATCCCACTAACGCAAATATATTCAACATTAATCCGGGCGGCTAAATCCGCCGGAGCGCTTTCAACCCCCAGTTCCATCCCATAATGCTAATCCTAACTATAAACATTACATTTCAAACCTTCACTACAAAGAAACATGTGTAATGGATTGCACACACACATACGAACATTCAGTACATACATAAAAAAAAATATCCATCCATCATACATACATACATAGAAACATACAGTACATACATGAATACAAAAATACATACATACATACAAATATACATACATACATATAAATAAAGATAGATACATGCATGCATACACACAAACATACATACATATATAAATACACACACATGTATACAGGTGTTCAACGTACAAGCCAGACCTTTGAACTACAATGAGCCACTGACCATCAGATTAAATAATCCATTAGGAGAATTAAGTGATAGCCAAATTCAATGCATCATCCCGCCTTCAGCCTTATGGTAATGAGTCCATAAAGGCCTTTGTTGCGTGCTTCGCGTGTCTAGGCTCTCCTCTCTCCTTTATTTCAATTGGATATCGCCTTTCCCCTTATATATATTAATTTCATGGCCCGTATAATGCGAAATACTAATGGCTCTCTTCAATTTTCTTAATTAGTGTTATCTTTTGTTGTCATCATCCCTAATATGGATCTAACTATCAATAGCACTCTCATTAAGGGGAATCCGACACGAAATCTACGGACATACACACCCACATTTCACTATATCGCTAACCATAACATTACATCACTGACGTCGGCGCTCGCGTGTTCTGGGACAATCAGACATCCGAAACGCCCCCCGCCAATTATAATGAGGGGAACATATGTAATTGGAGAATTAAATCAAACCGACAACGAGCAATTAACACAGTCGACATCCAAACCCTCCTAACTTATGGTAAGAGAGCCTCGTCCTCCATAAAGCAGCGGACCGACTCTACACAGCGAGTCTAAAGTAGTTTATGCTGCAGACGACTACAAAGAAAACGTTATGGCAATGCGTATCGTGTGCATCATGAATAAAATATATGCGGTAGCCACAACACTAAAATTGTTTACGTAACTGAGGAAGTGTTTTTTTTTTACGTGGGTATGTCCTGCGTTTATGTTTGTGGGCGGGTGTCTGTCTATCTGTCTGTATATATATCATAAAGATATGGAGAGAGATAGAGTAAAGAGAGAGAGAGAGAGAGAGAGAGAGAGAGAAGAGAGAGGAGGAGAGAGAGAGAGAGAGAGAGAGAGAGAGAGAGAGAGAGAGAGAGAGAGAGAGAGAGAGAGAGAGAGAGAGAGAGAGAGAGAGAGAGAGAGAGAGAGAGAGAGAGAGAGAGAGAGAGAGAGAGAGAGAAACAGAGACAGAGACAGAGAGAGAGACAGAGAGAGAGATAGACAGAGACAGACACAGGCAAGACAGAAACAGCCAGAGCGAGAGAGGAAAGAGACAAATCCTCCAACAGCCACCGATTAACGCAAGCCCGAAAAGACGACCTGCCCCCCCACCCCCAGCAACCCCCACCCGCGGCCCCACCAACTAGGCCCACGGCACAGCTCACCTCGGAAGACAATGCGCCAAAAGGAGGTTGCAAAGAAGTGCCTTGGGTGCTATTGATCCCCGGGCGTCCTCAAGGCGATGCAACACCTCCTTGCAATCGCAAATACCGCCACAATAACGGCTTCAGACTAATTCTATACACACACACGGACACATAAACACACACACACAACCACGCCCAAACACGCACGAGCGCACGCACACTCGCACACGTACACTCACTCACTCACACTAACTCATTTACTCACTCATTTACTTACTCACTCACTACTCTCACAATCTCACTCTCACTCTAACTCACACTCCCCCCCCCCCCTTGCCGGCACTCTAAGTTATGACGCCCTTTCTCCGGAAGACAAATCCTTACTCAACCGGCGGCGTAAGGAGTGAGAGAGAAACACACAAGAACAGAGACGATAAGAATATTGCCGTTGTCGGAAACGCTGAAATACAACGAAAGCGGCTTAAGGGCAGATAGAAGCTGAGGGTATTGAGAGAGAGAGAGAGAGAGAGAGAGAGAGAGAGAGAGAGAGAGAGAGAGAGAGAGAGAGAGGAGAGAAGAGAGAGAGAGAGAGAGAGAGAGAGAGAGAGAGAGAGAGAGAGAAGGGGGGGGGGGGAGAACAAGCAAAAATTGAGGGACTAACATTTTAAACTGTCTGTCTGTCTGTCTGTCTGTCTTTCACTCACTCACTCACCTCACACCCACAAATACCACACACACACACACACACACACACACAACACACACACACACACACACACACACACACACACACACACACACACACACACACACACACACACCAACACACAAACTCACTCACTCTCTGTCTCTCTGTCTCTCTGTCTCTCTCTGTCTCTCTCTCTCTCTCTCTCTCTCTCTCTCTCTCTCTCTCTCTCTCTCTCTCTCTCTCTCTCTCTCTCTCTCTCTCTCTCTCTCTCTCTCTCTCTCTCTCTCATCCTACTCCCGAATCCCCTCACGAAACTGCGCATAATCCGGCAGTTCATTCTACACAAAACATGCAATAAAAAACAGGCAGAATATGGTGATACTCGACACGCAAGCGACGACCTTGAGAAAGGTTACCGCCCTTCTCTTGGCTCCCTCGCTCCCTCCCTCCCTCAGTCCTCCACTCCCTTCCCTCCCCTCCAGCTCCAGTCCACTCCACTTCCCTCCCTCCCTCCGCTCCAGTCCCCCATTCCCTCCCTCCCTCCCTCAGTCCCTCCACTCCCCTTCCTCCTCCCTCCGCCCAGTTCCTCCACTTCTCTCCTTTCCTCCCTCCCTCCCACCAACAAATTCAGTCGGGAGCAAATGATGCATAATAACACTTAGAGAATGGAAGGCACGAGAACAGAAGAAGGGAAGTAAAGAAGGAAAGAGAGAGAGAAAAAAGATAAAGATAAAGAGAGAGAGAGAAAGAGAAGAATAAAAGTGAGGGCGAAGGAAAAGACAGGAAATGATGGACAGCTCGACGGACGATCCAATAACCAATTTGAAGAAAGAAAGGAGGGAAAAAATAAAAAAAATAACGACTGCAGACACGAAAACCCATAATGGAAGTAGTCATGAATACGAGAGATGCGTCTGACAAACGACCTTCAGGTGGACCAGCGCGGGGGCCGATAAACACATGTGTATGTATGTACGTACGTGCGATTGTGCGTGCGATTGTGCGCGCGCGCGCGCGTGTGTGTATGTGTGTGTACGCGCGCGCGCACATATAATAAATACACAACGCATACATATATACACAAAATATATATACAGTACATCTGCAACAAAATTTCACCAATTCACCGTAAATTTTTAACACTTCCGCATTCGATGCTTTTACATCTGAAGTATCGATGCGTAAACAAGATAGCTACATCACAGATCAAACGTTTAAACTATAAATCTTTATTTTTCCGAACTCTAAAAAAAAGAAAAAAAGGGAAATGTGTTTGCTTTCCAGGGCGTGAGGTAGAATACGCGCGTGCGTGTCTGTCTGTTTGCGTGCATGGTTTGATGACGTGGATATGAACGCATGCAATTGCATATCTTTAAAAGCACGAGGTCTGTTAGGAAGCACGCATCTTTATCTTTGTCTGAAAGAATGAAATGCCACATTTCTTTGTCCGTGTGCATACCTGTACGTCCGTAATTGCTTATCAATGTCGTCCCTACCTTCCCGTCCCCAAACATAAGCATAAATTCTCTCGATAATTAAAGAAAACGAACAGAACAAAATCAAAATATCAAAGCAAAAATAACCTCTTCGTGAGCCCTCATAATCCCCAAAATAACCATAA